CCTCATAGATCTCTTGATATTGTGCGTAACAGATTATCAAGCGATTTAACGTCGTTGGTTGCGTACGATGGTTCAAGTAGGATTTTATAAAGAACGACTTACCTGTACCGGGATTCCCAACGAGAATCACATTACTACTGGGGTGAAAATGAATATCTTTCTCTGTCAAATTTATTTCCATGTTCGCTTTCCGTTAAGGTGTGAATGTGTGTGTGTGTGTGTCCACGTCTCGCATTGTAGCGGAAATGACATCGAGAGGAATATTTCTGTAAATTTAAAGGATGAAAGAGCCTTTGAGCAAAAAGAGGCGTAATATTCCACCATAAGAAAAGTAACAGCTGGAAAACTTTCATATAAAATTTATTTGGAAGACAGCGCTGAAAAAACTATTTTCACAGCAATTCATTTTTCTTTCGCAAGCAGACAAAAAAATTTCACATCATATGCATGGCAAATGAAAAATCGCGCCAATGCGAAATGAAGTTATACTAGAGATTGAGAGAGGACGAGAGGGAGAGAGAAAGGAAATACATGTGATAAGCTAGCAACTGGAAACAATTCCAACAAAGTTAATTTTGAAGACAGTGATAAAAAAGTTAGCGATACATTCTCTTTCTCGAACAGTCGAAAAAAAAAATCATTACAAGCAATACAAAGAAAACGAAAATCCCACAAACGCGAAATAAAGTCTTATAAGAAAGGGAGAAAAGGAAAATATTTGTGAAAGGCTAAAAACTAAAACAATATATTGCAATATTCATTTTGAACACAGTGAAAAAATTTTTTTTCACGATAATTCATTTTCTTTTGCAAATAATCAGTATAATTAATACACACCATATACAACGAGAAAGAAAAAAAAATCAGGCTCACAAGAAATGAAGACTTACAAGATGGAGGGAGAGAAAGGAAGGGAGAATAAGAGAAAGAAAATATTGAGAGTGGTGAAAAACAAGTTTCTACTCCTTAACACATTTGTCCTGGACCTCCTTACCCTCAGCAACTTCCGGGATGCCATAGTGACTATATGGGAGTGTTTTGAACTCTGCTGGGAGTTTGATAGAGGTATACTTTATCATCGTACATGACTAGACCGTGACGTTTCTGTTGTACGTATAGAGTTGCTCATCTTCAAAATGTCAAAAAAATACACAGGCATGAAAAGTAAAAGTAATAACACGAGTAATATATCAATGGAAAGCGCTTGGAGAGAGCTTTCATTTGACACTAGTTACAAGTTTGTTTAACACAAAATTGTTATGTCATGTTATATTGTCATGTTTAACACAGGAAGTACGAACCGCCAAAGTTGGTGAAAATAGGCAATTTTGGACTATTCGAATTTAATTTTCTCGACAAAGTTTTTTGCATCCTTCAACTTTAAATCAAGAATTTAACGGTAACGGAATCAGATGTTAAAATGCTTTCCAGCACCACAATGTTACGTAGAATCACGATTATTAAACGCACGTTTTAAGAGCAATATTTACCATTTTAGAAATTGCATAACCCAATTTCTAATAAAGGCTGCAGAAAATGCATTTAATAATGCGATTCTACGTGGTTTCAGCTTTACTTAGAGTCCAAAAACGCGTCTCTAGCTCGAATAGGAAATATATCAATGGAAAGCGCTTGGAGAGAGCTTTCATTTGACACTTATTACAAGTTTATATCATGTTTAAAACAGGAAGTACGAACCGCCAAAGTTGGTGAAAATAGGCAATTTTGGACTTTTCGAATTTAATTTCAAGCTGTTTCAAAAAACGTAGAAAGTTGAAATTTAGTTCTTAAATTGCCATTGCCTTAGTCTACAATTTTACGAAAGGTCGAGGTGTTACAATGCATGTTAGTGCTATTAATTTGCGTGCAAAATTCTGCAATATTTACCATTTTGGTAATTGCATAACCCAATTTCTAATAAACGCTGCAGAAAATGCATTTAATAATGCGATTCTACGTGGTCTCGGCTTTACTAAGAGTCCAAAAACGCGTCTCTAGCTCGAATAGGACCAAAGATAGCGCTTTAACCCTAATGGCCACTTTTCCTCTAGGGGGCGAAGTTTGGGGCCGCATATCTCGAAATCCGTTAGAGCCAGAGAGCCAAAATTTTGGATTTTTTCATAAGTTCTCATTGCCAGCATGCAATAATTTTTTCAAGCAAATCGGAATCTGAAGCGCAACCACCCCTTGATCACTTGAGCTGGAATGCCTCAGCTGATAATATCTATCCAGACGAATACACCGTAATTAAATACTCCTACGGTGTGATAGGTCACATTTAGTAGGGCACACTCATACTGTAGTCTAGGTGTAATCTTAACTCCTGGACACTGCCGAAGGATTCAATCTTTTAATTCGATCAAAAGCGAAGGTTTGACTTCCTTCGTTTCTTGCCTCGATCGGGGCGCGGAGTAATCTCACGCTTGTGTGAGGGGGGTGAGGGGTGACCTTCGCAACGAGTAATGAAGCCTACCATGTCTCCGTCATCCATTCATCGTGGATGCATCAGGACAGCCTAATTTTTTCTTATTGCCGTTGAGAATCGGTTGCCAAACACGTAGTTTTTTTTTCTCTCTCTTTTTCTTCGTTCTACACGGTGTTCTTTGGACATCGGCACCGGCAGAAAGGAAACCTGCCGATGGTGCCATACTGGCGGTTGCCAAAACATCCTTACAGCCTAGATTCAAGCGACGTCCATATAAGACATTCATCTTGGGTTCACTTTGGGTCAAGATGTAAAATGCACCAGGGCAAGTTAACCTTTTAAGCACCAAACCTGCATAAATTCGTTAGGCCTACTAACCGTTCGAATTCGCGCCTGAAAGTTCAAAGAACTTAGATTAAAAATATAACACCTTTCCCGTAAACAACCTCCGGAAACAAAAAAATTCCATATATAGATATGTAAAATTAACTGTAAAGTTAGATTTCTTGGGGGGATAAAAAACAGCCTGGTGGGAATGCACGACCCACAAAACTGGGACACAAAGGGTTAAAATTTCAAAAACTTAAGCCCACATACTATGAGACAGGAGTATAGGGGGGGAGTAACTGATGTACGTTTCGAAACGGAGTAAAAGAAGGAGCCACTTTCACAACATGCATCTCATTAGATCAAGCAAAGACTGAAACGTACGAGGAAAAAATATATACTTGGTCTTCCCTCCCTATCCTTTCCCACGTCCTGCCTCCGATTCAAACTTTTTTTCTTTCCTTCGTCTTTCATATAGACAGTTAGTTACCCGGTGGAAATATACTTTTCGATCACGATCGAAATATCATAACTCGATCATCATAACCTCGATGATAACTGACGTCACGCTGCCATAGGCCCCCTGTCGTCTGTCGTCAAAAATGGCTCCTTACTAAACTTCAATGATCCCATGTGTCTTTCACATGGACATTGTATATTTATAACTATATCATCTCGACTGTTTGGAGACGTGGCGCAGCAGTTACCGACGGAGACCTCCTGTCTTTCATGCGAAAAAGGATTGGAAGAGAGTTGTGATGGTCCTAGACCTTGTGTAAGGAGTTTTTACTTGCTTGATGAAACAACAGCACTTATTCGAGTATGGGGTGACAAGCGTACTCAAGCTTTGTTCGAAACTGGAAAAGTGAGAAACAAAGCCATCTGGATATCCGATCTTTGGTTGTGATGGCCAGGAAAAGGGCCCGAGATGACTGGATTTGTTAGATGTCGCTCTCAATTACGATTTCGGTCTAAGTATGAAAATTCGATCAGTTATAGGGGTCCTGAGGTCCTATCGAGTTATGATCGAGGTATTAGTTATGTGGGTATAAATATGGTTTGATAGTTATATTTCGATCATGATCGAAATGTATACTTAGACCGGGTAAGTCAGCATTTCCAGAATTTGACAGTGATAAGAAATTACGTGTTCATGCGAGTCACGTCACCTCTTTCTTTCCCCACCCGGACGGACTGTATTGTACTGTACTTTCATTTTAAAAATTTAGCCGAACCATATTACAGGTTCATGAATATTATTGACATTCCCCAGCCATCTATCGATATCTATCTATCGATGGTAGGCCTATTGGATAATCACGACCCAATCGCATATACGAGGGAAAGGACGGGGAGAGCATCAAGAGAAACCTTCCCAATTTTGAAACTGGGACCTATTCGTATGCGGTTCAAAAGGCATATGGGATGCACTTTAATGAAAGTACTTAAAAAGTACTAGCAGTTCAAAGTGGAAGCTAAAATCTTGAAACTAATTTCTTTCTGCGCGACTGCTTCCCTGTTCCCAGGAAGTAACACGGGCAGTTACTTACTACACCCAATACACGAATAAGACTACTTGTGACGTTAATGTCAGACAGGATGTAGTTCGTTAAACTAGGGAAATAGAGATAGGCTGATGTATACAGGTGTGCGCACGCAATTTTCACTAATTTATATATTTTCCTGTGCATATACAGGAGTACCCAGAATAAATCTGGGTAAAACTGTCCTCTTTAGGATACTGCAATTAAAATAATTCTACCTACGAGGCATTGCAAATCTCATAAGATTTGAAGTCTGCTGATGGTGCCAAACACTGAAGGGGCGTGGGTAAAAGGTTTCAGCCGTTTAGTAAATGAATTCACCAGAAAGGATTATGATAAAGACGTCCATTTCTTTATTCGAGCGTATATATGTGTCTACCTAATAGGGATTGATTATAGAAGGGACGTAGGATTTGTGACTAGTGACAAGGATATAGAATAACCGAGACGATTGCGTCAATATTGAGAAATTTGTGGTGCCGGCATGATCACTTCTCAGAACCGCATTTGTATGTAGCGCACTCTGCAGTTCCGTTGGCGGCCGATACGATCTTCTTCACCGAGTCCTTCATGCTTACGGGGGCCAGCATATCCATCAACCTAGAAGAGTAAAAAAAAAGTTAGAATCTAGGTCGACAAAAGAAAAATGAGGTACGAAAAAGTTGTTACGTGAAGACGATGCCTCGATCGGCCCCGTAAGTCTTCAAGGTGGAACCCATCTCGCAGTACATTCGCTGCTGACATTCTTGACTCTGCAGAGCAGCCAGAACGATGGAGGTGAGTCGGGCCAGATGTGCTTCCGATTGGTAGGGGCTGGCATCCACGGCTCGCTTCCTCCTCACGTAGTTATCGTATTGACTGCTATGGGTGGCAGCCGGGATCGGGATCGAGACCGGGACCGGCATCTCGTCCTTCACTTTATCTTTATTTTTCTTCGGAGCATCCAAGGACCCCTCTTCGGCTGCTTTGGCGACCAGGACGAGAATGGCGATGAGAAAGCCAACCGAAGTGGCCCCCAGCAAGAAGGGAAGTTTCCCTGTGATGTGAAGGTCTGTTTTGGGAAGTGCCGGAACGAAAAAGGCGTCGTAGTCGTCGGGCCCGGCGTAACCAGCTCCTGACACAGCCCCGTAATCGGGTGGAGCATAGCCAGCAGACGAGGCGGGATAACCGGCAGAGTTAGCTGGTATGAAGGCAGCATAGGAGTTTCCGCCGATGGAAGCGGTATTGCCTACCAAGGTACCCGTCACGTCAGATGACACACCGAAGTTGGCCATTTCTAACGTCTACAACAGAATCCTCATACGTAACAATCCTTCAAAAATCCCATAAGTAATATGCGAAGGCTTAAAAGACTCACCGAAGAGAATGCGTCGAGAGATGCGATTGTAAGAGATGAGAAGGCTCAGAATTGGATACACACTGACGAATTGACATAATTTCTTGGGGTTTTTATACAGAGCTCCGACCAATCATCTACCTTGCCCTCCGGCACCTTTCGTCCTCGACTTTTTTCCTCCCTTCAAAAAAAAAAAAAAATCTATTTCCCTCGGTCTCGGTCCCATTTGCCCGAGACCGTCTGCCGGGTGATTTGGTGGTTGCGGGTGTGGCAGGAGGCCGGACGAGACGCAGTCGATCCCACCCAGCTTCCCACAGATCACCATCGCAAATCGCCTTCACGGGAATCCTTTACTCCAGAATCCGAGGAGGTGTCATCCGATACTTTCAACGAAGTCACTCGGAACGATCACGAAACAAAACGTATCGATATCGAGTACGAAACGTTTTCGTTTTCAAGGAAATGGGACGAGGCGCTAGAAATGATCCAAGCCAGTTATTTCTTTTCTGCAAAACATCTTTCTAAGTGTTAAAAAATAATGATTATGGGGAATTTCCGCCGAAACATGGGATGCAAAGTCTCTCACAAGTTGGGAGCGGATTCTTACGGAAATTAATATTTTTCCTGAAGCGTCTCAGGGGCATATGAACCAGATAAAAGTACGTATTTCTCGGAGAAAATGCGATTGATGACCTTTAAAAATATGGATATGCATATTTTGGCGTGTTTGCGTGATACTGTACGTTACACTCGAATCCGTACATTCGTGCATATTTTGCCTCTTTTCTGGAGAAAGAAGTCTTGGAGTTGACGCTTAAGCTACCGATTTTCAGGAAAAAGTTGAGAGAAGTACACTATTTGTCTTTGAGAGTGCTTTTCCCCCATTTTTTTAAATACGGTTTATTGCGCATTACACGTTTAGTTGGATAGATTCTCGTGAGTATTTACCAGCGTGTTTTAACGCTTCGCGCAAAAAATATCCGCTTCCTTCCCTTCCCGTAAGTAGGATTTTGCTTTGTCACTTGTGCATCTGACGTTCGTAAGCTCGTATGAGACACCCTGCATATGTCGAACATGTTGTAACCTGGAAAATATTCGCGATATAGGCACATGCTAGATATTTACGAAGTAACATTTTCGGTTGTAATTTTCGACAAAATCCCAGTATAGTCGGTTCTCCGATGTTGCGTGAGCAAGAAACGCATTTCCTTCAGCTAGATGAACTGGATAAACTTAAGCTGTATTCGGCCGTTTACCAACGAAGAGAAACGACTGGATGTGACTAAACGATGAGATGACCTTGAAGCAGGAAACCCTTCCCCATGGGTCCGAGAAGGAGCAGACTTGAGGGATTAGAGCTGGGATTGACAATTATTTTGACTGGAGGGACGCTTCACAAGTTTTGGTGAGTATCGTGGACCGCACTCCAGTATCTGGCAGAATGCTTCAATAGCACAATCATTGCCTGTCGGTCCTATTCCTTCCTTTGCGATAAGAACCTAACTACAGTTTCTTCTACCGCATCACGTTTTTCGACCATCCAGATTCTCGCAAAGAAGACTGCCAAGTAGAGTCAACGCTCGTTAATTCGGACTCGAGGAGACTGGTGATTTTGTCCGGATTAACGGTCATCCGGATTATCGAGTACCTCCGGAGTGGCCATTTTTCTTCTTTTTTTCCTGGAAAAGTAAACTGCACTTAATATGTGGAAAGAAGGCCTTCATTGTGTGCATGGGAATAGAAAAACTTGGACTCGGTTCTTTCGATCTGTGCATATTGAAAGCGCGTGCTTCGCAATCGTTTCCGCGGGAGGGACACCAGCCAGGACAGCAGCCTGCTTAAGTTCATCGCGACACTTCTATATATCCTACATCCGACACTGTCGATGTTGGAATATTCAAATCACGTGCTACCGCAACTTGCCTTTCGACTGAGGCCTAGTCCACGACAGAAAATTTTCTTGCATATACGATCTAAGAATGTTGCAAAATAAGATTTTCGATAGAAACCTTTCGAAGGAATCTCTCAGAGCACTGAAAATGTTGCATGCGAAACTTTCAAAGACGTCCTCACCGCGAAAGCCTCCTTCGCAAATAAATACAGCATTGAAAACTTTCTGGCATGGACGAGGCCAAAGTCTGATGGCTTGAAAACTTCCAATTCCTCCTCTCGTGTGGGATGACGCCGAGAACAATTACCAATAATGGGAGGTAAGACACTTCTCGTGCCTCTAATGGCAAGAACAGGTTAGACTGATAAAGGATGAGTGACATGACAATGAAAAGCTCCCTCCTCATAACTCGATTCCAGGAAATTGGGGAGATCGAACGTTTTCTCTTTATTTTTTTAAATTAAAAAATCCAAGGGTGAGGGAAAGTGAAGACGTGGGGAAAAGGCAGGGAAATCGATTATTTTCTACTGTATCATATGTATTTTGCAGGAAAGTCCGGATTAACGGGGGGGGAATGACTCAGGGGGTTATAAAACTCTTCTGGATAAACGGAAAATACGGAATAACAACGTCCGGATTAAAATGAAATTTTTTTTATTGGTTCTATGGGACTTCTGCCAGGAACATTTTTCATGTCCGAATTAACGAGAGATCCGAATTACTGGCGTTCGGATTAACGAGAGTTGACTGTATATCACTCTCGAAAACATTTAATGTCGTTCGTCTTAAATCGTGTTAAAGTGCACTGTGCACCCGACATTCCTATAGGACTGTCGGGGACAAAATCCATCCAAATGGTTCGAATCCGAAAAAAAATCTCACTCGGTCGGAATGGCTAGATTCCCGATCTCAGATAGCCACAAATCCCAGAGCTGACAGGTTTCACGGTTTGGGCCAACCGTGAAACCTGTCCATCCCGGGAAGCGTGACATCTAGATAATTAATCACTTGAATCTCAAGAAAGCGCCATGCTAGAGAAGACTGTAGTCGAAATGGCTTTTTGAGGAGAGTCGAGGAGAGGAAAGAAAGGGGAGGAGGGCCTAATTATGACAAACGAAATGAGCAAGCTCAGCTCCTTCGTCGATTCAAATTTGTCATTCTATGACAGAACGAACTATAATTTTCCCTTTTGCTTGACAGAATGGCGAGCCGGATAGAATCGTATTTTGCCCACTCCTGGATCGGAGGGATTAGAAGGCGCCTCGTTCCCACTCCGTTCCTAGGCTTGTCATTCGGACGGCTTCGGCCGCTTCATTTCTCGGTCCCACCAGGGGAGGCGGAATCGACGCGAACGGAATCACGCCGAATCGGAACGGCACCGACGAAAAAGTCGAGGAACTGCGTTCGACCGGAATCGATACGAACGGGAAATAAAAGGGATGCACGAGATCGAAGGAGCGTCGTACGGAACGATGCGGAATCTGAACGAGAGCGAAAGAGCCCCCGTCGGGCGAGCGTAGGAGTCGTGCCAAAAAAAAAACAAGTGTCGAAGCGGAAGTACGCGGACGAACCGGCACGGTACACCCTGGAATATCCCTGCGACCGATCTCTATTCGACGCCGAAAGCACTCGCGGCCGCCACGTCCCGACTTCGATCTCGCACGGATTCGGGAAGGATGCGAAGAAAAGAACGCAATCACGGAACGACCTTGGACTTTCGGGCCGGCCGTGGCGTGGGGGGTCGCGTGGTTCTTTACACGGTATCGTGCAGATGTCGCACGTGTCGTTTCCAACACGAGGGTAGGCCGAGAGACCACAGACGCGAGGGATTTCGATCGTCTCGGATACCAAATCCTTTTCCACCTTCGTTTTTGGAACCGTGACGATCCGTTCGAAGAAGGAACGATTCGATGGACGCGGATGGACGTTTCCCACGCGCCGAGGGAACGGGGTAGGAATCGCTGCGACGCCGGAAACGAGTTTCACGACGTGCGATCGTCTTCGGAAGACATCGTGTGAGCCTCGAATCGATCGGGAAATGAATTTGAAAGTGAAAGACTCCGGTCGACGAGCACGGTGGACCGACGAGAACCTTCCTTTCCTTCCGATGAGATCCCGAATCCCGTGGATCCCCGCCTTCGACCTTCTCCCCGACTGCAAACGATTCTTATTACTGCCTTCACCCCCCCCCCCCTCCTTTGATCTGGGGGCAGCGACTAAGCGATTTCGTTGGAGGGCGGGAAGACGATCTCCCTCAAGCCAATATTGAAGACATTTTCCGTCTACTCCTTCTTCCTCTTTGTGGAATGCCTCGAAAGTGGCTCTCCGTTCACCCGAACGGAGAGCAGAAAGCAGCATCGATCGTGCGAGATCGCGTGGGATTTCTCGAAGGAAAATGGAGAAAAATGAGAGACGGAAAATAGCCGGGGAGACGTTGATCTCGTTTTCCTCACTTCACCTCGTCCGTTCCGCTTTGCTACCGACTTGGAGGCGGAACGTACGGACGGTCGCGGAGGATGCCGTGCACGATCCCTTCCTATTGCACGAGATCGACTCTCACTCTCAGATCGACACGACACCCTCGAGTTGACCGCTTCGAATGCCATGGCGATCGACAGGTAGGACGTTGTCGTCGTTCAAACTAATATTAGACTTAAGGAAATTCCCGAAAGTCGACGATACGTTCGAAGGGGATGAACGCGGGCTGAGCCATTTCCTCGGACGGAAAACGATGAAATGCAAATAATAAAGTGGTCTCCTTGGTAGATTTGAGAATCTCGCTTCGACCCCTGGCGTATTCGTCCTTCCTCAACGAGCGACGCGATGACGGGATTCGGACGACGATTCAATCCGCTAAATGTCGGATTCAGGCCCCAACTCGAACAAAAATCGACCCTCTTTCGAAAGAACTGCATCGCGATTTTAGGCGTATGCCTTGGCCTTGCCCTACCACAGGATCATAGTTTTAGAAAAATTTTTTTTACATAAAACCAATTCCTTTTTTTTGGTCGGCTTACGCAAATTAACGTATCATCAGTTGTTACACGTGAAACATTCGCGTCTTCCTACTTGACTATTTCCCAAAGCGTTCAAATGAGACACAGGAGTTTGAAGAGCCATATTTCGGATGAATAGCATCGGGTGCATCCCTTCACCTACAATGGAAAAAAAAAACTTTTAACAATAACAATCAATCACAAAAACCATATCACACAGCAATAATTAAATTAATGTGAGAATAGCTGAAGACCCTGTATAATCCGATTGATATAGAGGTACCAAGTTCATTATCAAGTACTAGTCAGTACTTAATAACTGTATCTCAAAAACGGCAAAATCGATCGCAAAACCACGAATTCAACCTGAAGAGATTTTCATCACGAGCCAATACACCAAGTGGCTTTTCCTAAATTGGGCGCGTTTTCATGCAAATTAAGCAAACATTTTGCGCCCTAAAGTCCCGTTATAACGGTCTGGTTCTCTGTTGCATTTTTGGCCATGAACGCGTTAGGATTTCTCTAATGATGGAGTCCCCCTCCAATTTCCCTTTATTTTCCTTAATAACATTTTCCAATGAGTTCTGTGTCATAGAATACTAAAAGGATCGTGTCCCGATTTCCAGCAGACACGCTTCGGATCAGTGATAGGGGGTGCGTTACGTCACCGGGAAACCCCCGATTGCATGCATGTCAATTTTCGGCGAGTTCCGCGCCGCAGCATTCGAGCGAGACATCGAATTTCGGGCACTCGGATATGGGATGGAGAATAGGGGAGGATTTTCATTCGTGCACGGGATGCGGATCGGCTGGATCGGACCGACCCCGACTCGCGGCTCGGTCGGCAATCGAGTTTCCAGTCGGGTCAAGGCAAAAATAAAGAAGGCGAAAAGAAGACTGGAGAAAAAGGCGTGCCTTTTTCTCCAGTCACTTATAGCTGAAGGAAAAAAATTATTTCCGTCGGTGCTCGACGAGACTACGTCATTAAATGACGTCACTCTCGTGCAAGCGGAGCCTGCGGAACGAACTCTCCTGGTTCGTGACGAACCAGGAGAGCGCCGAACGGGCCGGCACGAACGTGACGTCACGGGATGTTGGAATCGTCAGCAGAGACGGGAGAACCGCTCAGAAAAAAACGCGTAGGCCTAGCCACAGACATCGAGTTCTGAGGCTTAGAGTCCAAAGCGGGTTTCGGGCAGGCCCGATCGACCCGACGCGACCCGCGGGTCGGGTCCGTGAAGCTCGGTCAGACGATCGAGGTTTGGATCGGTTTGGGTCACCATTCGAATCGGCCGATCATTGGCGGGTGAGGAAAATACCACCCGCGCAGGCTTCCGGCGGATGGGAGGACAGAGACAGACAAGCGTCGTCCATTATTATACCAGCTGTAACACGTGAAATATTCACGTCTGATTGTGGCTAATGGGATTCGGTCCCATAGCATTCATATGAGGCATTTCGCAGGAATTTTTGAACCGCCAAACTTGGGGTCGTTAATAAAGAAATGGAGTATGTGAGATTCTTTCGTCATCAGAGGCCCCCAATTCACTTTTTGATCAATAAATAAGGGATGCGTTCCGGTTTCGGGGAACCCCCAACCCCAGTGCTTATAAAGACATTTTTTAGCGAGATCGCTAAACCGTCCAAGTGAAACTCCTCTCACTCGAATGCGGGGGACGATTTTGAGCTCCCTGGGGAATGGGGATCGGCTCTATCAGGCAGACCCGACCGGCGGATCGGGCGGGCGGCTCGGTTGGCAATCGAGTTTCATGTTTCGTGCGAATACGTTAGAACACGCTCAGAGGAGTCTTTTTCTCGAGCCGCTTACAGCTGCTGGCAATTAGGACGCCTCGTTCCGTCAGCGCTCGATGCGATCACGTCATTAAATGAGGTCGCTCTCGGGCAAGCAACTACCAGTTGAACGTAGTGAACTATAAGAGTACCAAACAGGCTAGCACCAATGTGACGTCATGGGACGTCAGGTGGAAGCCTCAGCAGAGCCAGTAGAGCCACTCAGAAAAAGACGAACCCAGAGACCCCGAGTTCCGAAGTTTAGAGGCCTAAGCGGGCTGTGGGCCGGCCCGATCGGCTTGACAAGACCCGCGGGTAGGATCGACAAAACTCGGTTCGGCGATCGAGTTTATAGATGCTGCTGGCAAAGAACACACCTTTCCATCAAAGCTATGCACGACCAAGTCATCGAATGACGTGACTCTTGGGCAAGCAGTCGCCAGCGAACTACGCGAGCGACGAGCAGCTGAGCCCTAACACCGTCTTTTTTGCTAGCGGCTCGACTAGCTCTGTTGAAGCCCCCAGCATCTGATGACGTCATTTTAAGGCTTAGCTGCTCAGCGTTCCCATAGTTCGCTATGTTCCGCTCGCAGCTGCTTGCCCGATGGTGACGTCATTCGATGACGTGGTCGTGCCTCGCCAATGCGTCTTTTTTGCCAGCAGTTGCTAGCGGCTGGAGAAAAAGACGCGCCCATGACGTGTTGGGATGTTGGAGGCCTCAGCAGAACTGGAAAAAAGAGCAGAGCCGCTAGGAAAAAAGCCCCGCGCATGGATTACCCGGCACAATCGGGTAGTGAATCGAATCGGAACTGTCCCACATCCCAATCGAAAAGTAATGGATGAAAGTAGTCTGAGGAGTTTGCTTCCGTATGACCTTAGTCGTGAAGCACCTTCATCGAAATCGGGTACGTGCGACACGTGCCAAGTGCCACGTGAACCGTTGTCGACCGTGCTCGATCGTGTCGACTCGAATGACATCGACACATGAGCAACTCGACGAGAAATGCTGCGACGCAGTATAACATCGACGGAAATACGCCGACAGAAATAGACCGAAAAGGAACTTTGACAAATGACTCCCGGATTGATACCGACGCGGAAGGACGTCAACAACCGCTTCTAAATCCCAGTTGGAAAGAGCGATAATTTCCAACTGGACCAAAACAGTCAATTGAGACCCGTTCCATATGGGAAACGGCTGGAAAGTAAAGTGAGACCAGGCAGTTCCACGCGGTATCACCGGCCGTTCTGCGACCCGAACGCAGGCGATCCGACGATCTCTCGCTACCGACTGGCCGACGGTTTGGACCGTCTCGTCGGATGACACCGATGAAGGCCGACCGACGAGCTCCAGACCCTCCAGGTCTTCGCGATCTTCCTCGACGACATTCGCCCTCCGGACGGTCTGGATGGATGGCTTTGCATCGTCCATCGGCGACTCCAAGAACTTGGTGTCATTCTCGAGCCGTCTCACCGAGGAAATCCAGGAACTCGATGAACAGGACGCTCTACCTGCCGAACGAACCCTTTCCGGCTGCAGTTCGGTGACTTGGTGTTCTGTAAAAACACTATGAAGTATACAAATCTGCACGGATTACATGCAATTGAGCACGAATGCTCTCGATATATAAACTGAAAGTTTAGCAAACAATTTGAAACACAGCGTTTAATCAACGTTAAATCAACATTGAATAATACATAATAATAACGTTCGTAACGTTGGTACAACATAGACTTGTTTGCTGGGACAGTTCTCGAGTCTTAACTGTATTTCTCGTACGACTGAGTTTAGCGAAACTTATTCTCCGGATGACTGTCGTATGTACAATTCAGAGCACTTTGAGAGCCATCTCACTTTCTTTTTAAGCATATGTGAATCATGTTGCATTCCAGTCGGCACAGCCACGTTGTGTCAACGTTGACACAGCGTGGCTATGCCGACTGGGATAGATTGTGCAGGATCATATATCTTTAACATCCCGGAGTTGTTACCAGATTCATCAATAAGCACAAAGTAAACTCAAAGTGTCATTTATGTAGAACAAAGGTACCGTTTTCTGAATGAACGATGCAGGACATAAATGTGCATCATTCATTCGTAAAACGGTGCCCTTATTCTATAGAACAGCCAATTCTTTCTCACGTTGCTTTCAGAAAAGGACGAGAATGAAAGCTCACGCATTACTGCATCCGACTGCAGTTCCAAACTGAGTTAATATATTCGACCCATGCTCAAGAAAAAAATTATTAAAGGAGCCATATGTATTTCTGGGCAATTTGAATAAGGTTTAAATTGATGTGAAATCAAATGTAAAAAAAAAGAAGCATGAAGGGAAAGCGGAAAGGAAAGAAAAATCTGCGGTATCGCAGATTCTTCGCGATTTCCTGATTTTAACCCCTTAAGTGCTGACGTCCAGTATACTGGACGACAGCGTTTCGTGCTCACTGAGCTGCTGTCCAGTATATGGAAAATGACGTGAGGGGAGGCGGGCACACCTCTAAACTCTTCCTGCTCTTCGCTTTCCACGCTAGATGGCCTAAAGTTTCAAGTAGCGTCGAAATATTAGAATGAATGATGTTCCCCTTGCGAATCTTAATTATAAATAAATAAAAGAAACAGCATTGGAGGTGCGCGCACCTGGACAAAATTCAACACTTCAAGGATGGGGGGGGTTTACAGGTTCCTTGGCTTTACAGAGACGACATCTAGGAGCGGCAGCGAAAACGAACTGGTTGATTCTCTCGTTCCAGAAGACGCTCCGGATCAGGAAAGATGGCGACAGCCGCGGCAGCCCAGTTACTTGATGAGTTGATGGGAAGGACGAGAAATCTTTTACCGGATGAGGAACCCAGGGAAATCCAGTGGTACGACGAAGAGGTATGTTGCCCATGTTTATATAATTCAAGTTTCTGGCATCTTGTCCACAGTGTGCTCACATCTCACGTAGGTTTGCAAGCTGTATTTGGTGAAGTTCTGTCCACATGAACTCTTTGTGAATACCCGCATCGATTTGGGACCATGCCCAAAGATTCATGATGAAGAACTGAAGAATAAATTTGAAGCCATGAACACTTCCAAGAAAGCCAAATACGAAGATGACTTCATCAAGTTCTGTCACAGTTTGATCGCCGAGGTAGACAAAAAAATCGGCAAAGGGAAGGATCGCCTGGCGAGGGCGCTAAGTGAAGATGCAGTGAGTTTCCTTTACTAAGCTTTTGTGTAGGCTACTGGCGAGCCTAGGTCTAATGTGTCTTTGTAGATTGAAAATTTAATTTGCTCTCTCTTTCTGCTTGTTTAATACATGTTAAGACTAACGGTGCTCCAAAAATCAATAAACAGAAAGCCCTTTAGAGAAAATTAATATTGTAAACATGGACTGGAACAGACAAATGCCACAAGTGGCTGAACACATAGTAAAGGAAGGGTGATATTTATTGGACATTAGCAGTCTCATACCCATGCTCCCTGTCTCAAAATATCCTGTTTTCATAGAACCAGGGAGAGTGTTGGCAACTTCATTGTTGCTCAGTTCTTAGGCTGTCCATCACTTTGCATCAGGCCACCAAAGCCAATGTGATGGGTGCTGTTGAGGCATACCAAATCCCTACCTTTCACACTGGAGCACAGAGTGGCCCATGCTTTAGCGCAAGGGAAAACAGATAATATCTGAAAGCAGCTGGGTGAACTGTTGGTCCAGGAGAATACTCCCTGCTGCTGGTCAGATTTGAACTTGGACCTCCCCCCATTGTAATGTATGTGAAGTTACTACTTAAGGCAATGTTACATATGGTCTTCTTACCCTCAATGAGGGAAGACTACATGTCATGACCTCATCAATTCCAATATCACACCAAAATATAACACGTTTGAAGAGCAGATCTGGAAAATAGTGTAATACCAGCAAAGGTGACAGCAGGCAGTATTTCTACGCTATGTCCACACTGTGGGCAACCTGACTGTTATGTGCACACCCCTAAATGTATGCATACTATATGCTTCCAAGACTGAAAGAAACATCAGGATGATGTCAACACCATTTACTATTATATTATTAAAAGTGTTCCTCCCAATGTTCAACATTCATTTATTCATGGCTCGTGATAGGCTCAAAACTTTTATGGAGTTATGGTTTCAGTATCAACAGGAATCCATTCTCCATGAATACAAGCCTCTGCATCAGAAATTCTTTACAAAAGAAAGCATTCAAGATGCCCCAGATGTAGGAGACCTATCAATAAACAGAAAGTCACCCCAAGAAACCTTTTCTGCACGGTCAGAGAAAAGTATTTGTTGGGTTTCTTTGAAATTCCTGGAGCCTTAAAACACTGTTGAGATCTTGAGAAAAGTTTGTGATTTTTAAAACATCATACCATTTGACAGCAGCATAATTGATATGTTGTAGCTAGGAACAAGGAATTTGGCAACAGTTGTGAGGACATGTGGGAAGTTGATTGTACAATGGACATGTTCAATATGTCATGTAATGTGACATTGGTGCAGGGAGTAATGGTGCAAGATTACATATACATATCCTTGGAGATTTTGAAATTCTCCCCTGCAATTGCTTCTCGTAACTCCACAACTACCTGGGGGTTACATTCAAATATTGTTAGCCTTGGTAGCAGTAAAAAAAGTTTCCTTTCTAGATGCTAAATGTGTCATTATGGAACTCTTACTACTAAGCAATGATTGAATTTCTGCTTTGAGGAAAGTATTTCACAATAAAGACTCTGCAGTAAGGAGTACATTATCATGTTGCTATAGTGCTTCAACCTGGCGAGGATAAATTTTCCACATGTGCTAATGACTGTTGTTGAGTTCCACATTCCAAGTTTCATGGATATGACATTCATAGTATATTCATATGGTATGATGTTTTAAAAATCACCCTATATGTGAGCTAACAGTTATATGCACATTAGGGTGCTTTTCAGTTGCCTTAATTTCTATCCATTTAAGTAAGACAATTTTAAAATTCAGTGACTTATAATCACCTTGTATGTGAGTTGTGTATCCCTGGCCTGTGCCTTTATGCAAGTTCTTCAGAAAATGCTTTGAATTGCAAGATCTCTCATATTCTTTGTGTTGCAGACAAACATTTCAGCAGCACAGCACAAGACCAATGAAGAGCAAATCATCCTTCTGACAGAAAAAATCAATGCCTTGGTCTCACAAGCAGAGGAAAAGGGCTGTGCAGGGGATGTCGAGGAGGCACAAGGACTTCTCAAGCTCTGTGATCAATTGAGGGAAGAGCGGGAGACTCTCAGACGAAAGAGTGACAACTTCCACTGGCAACAGGTCAGAAACTCATGTCTAATCAGGGTATCTCCTGCAGTGCTGGAAGTTAATCAGAGCCTGAGAGTAAGGTGTCCCTTTCTGCATGTTGACAGACAGCAGAGCTTGCAGCTGCTCAGGAGAAGCAGATGGAGGTGTGTGAGATCTGTGGAGCATTCCTGATTGTAGGGGATGCCCAGCAAAGGATTGATGATCACCTCATGGGTAAACTCCATATGGGGTATGCCAAACTCAGGGTGGCTATCAATGAAATCAAGGTGAGAATAAATCACATCAGGAGGATATCCAGGGAACTCTTCCAATTGCCATTGTCAGAGATCCCATTACTGTCATGGTATATGTCTTCTGAAAGGCCATCTCCTGCCAAAACCTATGATATCTAGGAATTTTTTTTACTGTTGCTTTCATTCCCATGATATGGTAGCTGCTTCTTCATCAGGAATGGACTGGTTTCATAAAAATGACAGGAATTGTAGATTCTGAAATCTGAATTTGAAGATAAGTTTTGTTATGTAGGAATGATGTTATTTTTATGGAAGAGCTCATGATATCTTTTTGGCAAAGATACCATCATATTGTAGACCTTTAGCTTACTTGAAGCCTGATTTAATGCCTTGTAGTGCAACAAGACTGCTGTGGAACAATTCATATTAAAAACCCATCTACAGGGTGGACCAAAAAAAAACAAGCTATCATTTTTGGTGAGTCGTAAACCTCTTTTTAGGCTGCCAATTTTGATGGAAGTGGGTAGGCATTAGCCTACCAACACAAAGGGTGACACAAGTGGACTTGGTATACCAACTTTCAGCCATTTGGCTTTAAAATGATAGGAGTTGTAATTATTTTCAGATGACCGACAAAATGTGCTATTGAAAATATTGATATGACCTTGAGGCCAGGATGAAAAGGAGGTCCGAATTCATTGACCTTCCATCCCTGCATGATGCTACAAAGGAAGATTGGGAGGCACTGCCTCAAAGGTGTATTGACCGAGCCATTGATCTGTGGTGTCGGACTAGAGGCTTGTGTTCAACAAAATGGAGGGCACATTGTGCACCATTTCAGTTGAAATTTATGTCCCTAAATCAAATTGTGTACTTTCATGTTTGGCATTTGTGCATCTGTTTTTGTTCTGTTTGTTTGCTTGATTGTTTTTATCAGTTGTGAGAATTTTTAAGTTGAAAGAAGAAATGAACACTTACTTTTTTGGTGATGAAAAGTAAATTAAATGCCAATCTCACAGTTTTTGGAATTTTTATTTGAAACTTGGCATACAAACCCTAATTGAGTCACCCTATGTGCATTCCAAATTTAATCAAAATCAGTCACATACAATCAGATTGACAACTTACCAAAAATGATAGCTTTGTTTTTTTTTTGGCCCACCCTGTAGAATCCTTGCCCACTTGTACCACTGCCTCAGCAGAACCCATCTTTGTAAGGGCAGGTCATCTCAAGATTGTGGTAGCTGCAACTGAAAGTTTAATGGTTAATCTATGAGCATAGTTGTCAGCCTGTCATGCATTTGATCAGGAGTAGATATGTATTGATGTGAAATCAAATGTAAATGTTTTGCAAAACCAGGAGGCACGGCAGAAGGAAAAAGAGGAGAAGGCCAAAATGTGGGAAAAGGAGAGGGAAGAAAGAAGAAAACGATTTGCTGAAGAGGAAGAAAAGAAACGGAAAGAAAGGGGTGAGGATCCTTCGAGTGACAGAGATCGAGAACGTAGGAACCAGAATTACCGATCAAGGTACTCCATTTTCTATGCTTCCCTTAAACTGTATATGATGTACTTGTTAAGCTGCTTGATGCAGTAATCATGAGTCTGAGCTGAACTCCAGTAGGGAACGAGATCGGGAGGATCGTGAGAGAGGTCATAGTCGGAGGAGTGAGAATCATGATCGAAAATGTCCATCAACATCAAGATCACGCTCCCCATCTATGAGGTATGTGTAAGAAATTAATCCAACTTGCAGAAGTTTTAAAACTATTCTGTGGTTTCATTCATTGGATGAACACTTTCAGTATCAGTGTCAAAAATTGGAAATATAAGCAGGAAATAATTGTATGTAGATATGTTGCATAGTTTAAATAGGATTCAAAGAAGCATTCAGTTTTCATTAGGGTCACAAGATAATAAAATTTGAAGTCTAAGAAATCCTAATGCTAAAGACTGCCATTTGTAGCTAAAAGTTAGCTTTGAAAACCTTAAATGTTTTTGCAAGCATAATTGGTCTGTGGCAATGCCTGTTTTTGCTGCTAGAGCTTAACTTGACCCTGCCTGCACCTTGGGATAAAAAATAAAATTGGGTCAAGCCTGGCTGGATCCAAGCTCAGAAGTTGGTTTATTGGGCTATGCTATTCCTATACCTGTCATCACAATAGTGCTTGAGAAATATAGCAATGGCATGTAAGAGCATGTTCATAAGGAAATCCAGCAGATGGAGGAAGTTGATGTCCCAGATTTTGAATAAATTTATAATATAATTTCCTTTGGGTGAGTTATTTTGAATATTTCCAAAGTTGTGACCTTGGGATTTAGCAATGACATTAGGAGTTCCTGCCACAAGGATATAGCTCTGAGAAGCTCTCATTTGTTAGTAATTTGCTGCACGAAAGTTAGTGAGCAAAATGTAGCATTTTTAATCTAGGGACACCAAAGACTGTATTGGAAAAGGTTTTGTCCAATTGGTTCTCTGCAGCAGACAACATGTACCATCAAGAAAGGCAAGATATGCAAACTTTGCTGAGGTGATGTTCTCTGTAATTCAGTATAATAGATATGCAGTTACATTTTTAGAACAAAAGAATTATGTAACGTTGAAAAGAAGGAGTTGTGCCATTTTGACCAAATTCAACATCCTCTGGCATTTTCCTACTGATGTTCATTGAAATTAAAAGAATGCCAATTTTTGCCACATCCTTGATCTAGTATTGCTGGAAAAATAATTTTTCATTTTAGTATCTTGTGCCCAGTGTTGTACTCTATACTTGGTGACTGTTGATGCGAGCTGTATACTGATTGCCAAGGAGTTTAACCATATCAATCAACTTTGGTATTCCAATATGTATCTGTGTGTCATGAATTTTAATCGAGTTAGAAGGGTATGACTCTTTGCAAACAATACTTTTTTTAAGACAGGACCTTCAGTGGGTGCAGAGTGACAATGGATATACTTACAATACACAGAGGAAGGGGGTATTTACTTGGCACAGGCACCACACACCACACACCTGAATCACAGTCCCTTAGGTGGGACACCCCTCTACAGTCCAGTAGGAGGGAGGCCTAGGGACAGCTCATGGATTGCCTCTGCCTATGACTGGCACAAGTGATTTTTAAGGTGTATTGCACCTGTATCTCTTACATGTGGCACACATAGTGGCAAGTGTGCTATCCCGTGTTAAGTAGACACTCCCCTTGAAAGCAGGTGGGTCACCTGTCAGTGAAGGAAAAGCCCACTGCTTCCTTGACTCAATTCCTCACCTGGGTTTCATTCTAATTAGAAACCTCTTTGAAGGATAAATCCCTTGCAGGACAAATCCCTTTGTAGATACTTTCCCACCATGGACTCCTCCCAAATAGACAGTAACTGGTAATCAACTGTGAACCAGGATTTCCATGTGATTGTGTGTCCAGGATTTTTGTCCTCATCTGTACTGGTGGTGTTGGTGGGGGGGGCAGGGGACTTTGAATCTCTCCACTTTGTTTTTGTGTTGCTGAGTGGAGGCAAAAAATCTTTCATCCATTGCTGTCTAAACAGTCTTCTTCATTCATTAGAAGCAGTAGTCTACACAAATATGGGTCATTTTTATCATTAGTCCTGCCCTCATCTTCAACTTCTCCCCTTGCACACTTCATCTCTCACTGATCCTCAACAACATTCTTCTATAATAATATAATTTAAAATAAAATTGTTGCAGTTTGTTGCTCCTGCTATACTTGCATTGGTGGATCAAGGTCTTGTTTCTGAAGTCCAGGTTGTAATACTAGCGAATTGAGGTGAAGATCTACATCTCCTCATTCAAGCTTTGCTCCTTGGGACTCTTGAATCTGGAAAGGTCCAGAAAGGATCCCCTGCAGGCCTTCAAATCTGATGGCACAGTGCTGACTCACTGGATTTTGTTGTACAGTGTGGTTGTTCCAATTGCTGATTATGAACACACAGGAACAACATTCAACCATTTTTTCGATTTTCTTCATGTGTATGTTCTAGAAATTGCAATAGTTTCTCTACATATTCTTGAGGTATCTTCTGCATGATCTTCCAATTCTTCAGGACCTTAATTGTTATGCAAGAAGCTTAATGCTGTTCATGGATGGGAGGGAACTCTCTATACTAAAAAAGAAATCCAATTGGAGAAAACTTCTTTTGAGATTAAATTGCTCTGGGAATTTTCTATTGAGTCCAAATATTGACCATCACCATGCAGGCACATCCACAGTTGCACACTCATGAAACCTATATTGATTGATCAATAGCTTCATTTGACAAGCATTCACAATGGTATTTCATTAGAACACCTATGAGGACCCAGACATCCCTTTCAAGTTAATTTTTATTGCAGAAGACTGCTACTGCAGCCTGGAAATCTAAGATTGATCTACCTAACCTCACTAGCCATATCTGACAACCATGAATAATGTGTTGACATCTGCTCATGACCCTGGAGGTCATGACACTACTAATCAAAAACATTTCTAATGCAGGGAGAGAAGCCGAGAAGACCAAGATCTCACTAGATACAGGCACAGTGACAGCTTCAATGACAGAAGTGAGCTCTAATTCTCTTTCAATAGGTTGCAGGGCATTCCAGTATTCTTTTGCATGATACAAATTGCAATGCAATAGATCGGAGGTCAACAGAAAACCGATACCGAGACAAAGATAGGACAAGGGAGAGGGATCGAGATCGAACTTACAACCGAGATGCTCGCTACTCCCGAGAGTATCGCTGATTTAGGCCTCCCTCTTCCCTCAGGTATCCTTATGATACACAAGAGGTAAGTTCACCCATTATTCATTCAATGCAGCCTGCACCCTGGCTGATTGGCAATTTAGAGATCATACCATTAAAGTCTTTATTTCATAAATCACTTACACAGTGGTATTGCATTCATAAAGTTTTGTTGAACATGATCAGTGAATTTCAGGCAGCTCAACTACAGACTTCACTTGATCACTTTTGTTGCTGCTGCTCAGGTGAGCGAATTTTGAAAAACCAAGGTTACCTTGTTGGCTTGATATGAAGCTATTCTTAAAATTGACTTAATGATTTTAAAAGATTAGAATCCAAGTTCAAGTTTGTATTGCATTTAGGCCTATTGCTGATTGGTTTGAGGGTGACGGTGTTCTCGAGTTTTTGAAACTAAATTCATTGGAAAAATTATATCACCTGATGAGGATAGATTTCAGGGATTAGGCTGGAATAGGGCAGGAATGTCTCCACTTTTCTGCTTCAAGGTATCAAAAAAGGCTGTAGGCTTATATAGTCAAGGAAAATAATCAAATTCTGACAGTATTGATTTGTACACCAAGAAGAAGGCTCCTATGTCATATGATCATGCACTGCCAGTGTGTAAATCAGTGATGAAGTGCTGTATGAGTCTGTGAAAAATAAACTTATTCCTGTCAGAGGTGGGTAGTGAAGCTGATAGACTGCTTATCTTATCCAGTTTGTCATAGATATTGAAGACCAGAATGTGTAATTTTCACATTATCAATTACTTTTTGACCAGGTTTAGAAACAGTTCTAAGTTTACTTGTACCTATTCCTTCACATATACCAGTAACTTACTGTAGTTTCAACATTTTAAATATGTATGCATACACTTGTGCTCCAATTTTATGTTGCTACAAGCTACTACAATCCAATATGCCCTAATTATGTAAGTGCAATAAATTTTCCTCTACCTGTGCTTAATTCTCCAACCTTCCGGGAAAGATGCACACAGTTTTTAAGATGAAATGTGGTGAAACAATTTTGCAAGTATGTGTGTTTAGGTGTTCATCTTCACATCAAAACCATTTGCCGTACATGTAATGACGATAATACAAAAAGTTAGTTCTTTACCTTTTTCATTTTGCCATTTTTTTGTCAATCAGTGAATATTGTAATGAACTTTTTCTTTGTTTCCAAGAAAAAAAAATTGGTAATGCTTTAGGTCAGGTCTTCAATAAGCAGGTCATGCCTTATGCAAAGATTCATTATGGTGGAAGATCATACTAAAACCATGGTGCACAAGTATTTGTTTCCATCTGGTGCTTTTAAATCATGCAGTACATGATCTCTTCATCTATACCTCAGTCAGCAGTAAGAGTTAGTTGCCCCATGACTTATAACTTCATTGGTGAATTTCAACTGCTGGTTTAATATTCCCATCCCACTTAAATTTTTGGGGGGGTTAAGGATAGCTATTCATCTGAAAAGTGTTACGCAGCTAGGAAGCCCAGTTATACAAGTGCAATATTCAAATATCACCCAGTGTAGTCAGGACCATCAAGCAGGCAGGATTTGTGGTTAATCATGAATAATTTCCTGTGGAATTATTATTATAGAATGTGTGCATAAGGTCAACTTTACATGGGTTTTATTTTTTCACCCTCTTTTGCCCATTTTTATTATCATCACTATGTGGCCACAGATCATCAGAGTAAAACTGTAGGTCTAGCTGAAGTTACGTCTAGAATCTGGTAGTGCCTATATTATTTCTTCATTTTCTCATTGAAAGGAATATAACAGTTCTAGGTTTTTTTTCTCTCTCTCTCGTTGGCACCTTCTGCTTCAATTTCATCTTTATAGACTTAGTTCTAACTCTTGCCTACCAAAATTAAAATTTGGGCCAGTCTTGACCTAATGCTTGCCATGTACAAGGTTAAGATAGGTCAAGTTATTGTTAACCTATGCTTTAGTGAAAGTGAGGCCTTGTGATTTTTAATGCTAGCAAGTTAGTGCACCATAACTTGTTCTTTAATGCTAGGCCCAGCTGATGGACTGTCTTCAGATGAACTGCAGCCTCACTTTTCGCCTAGTTTTTTCCTGGTGTAGCTTGTAAGGCAAGGCCTCCATAGGATTCAAAGAGTCTAAACCGTTTAAATGAAAGCCATTAACTTATTGCACCCCTTTTGAGGAATGGAACTTTGGGAACTGACTCATCACAACATGGAACACCACATCTGATTGATGTTTAGTGCTTGATTGCTCTGCCTTGGAGCTTGAATCAATCTCCATGTAGTGCTGTTTTAATTTTACATCGTTTTAACTAGGGATGCACCGATACCTACATGGTCGATCCGATCCGATTCTCCCTTGCCGCACGCCATACTTGATGCACAGCGCGTAAATTTGGGAACGTCTCAATAAATAAAACCCACTCGCAATGGCATACGGTTCCTTAAATCCGTCATAGTTCTTGTTAATCTCCAACTGATGGACAATGAGTTTGGGCATGGTTAAAGCGGAATGCGAGAGATTTGAGAAGGGCCTTGTACAAATGGAATGGGCCAGAGTCATTCACATTTTATACGCATTCATTCCTTCACTTTCCCCCAATCCGCCCCGTCTCCTCCTTTCCTGCGCTGACTGGTTTGCGCAGGCGCACTTTGTGCTCACGTCCATCCCACCTCCGGCTCTCCCCTCGAGCACCGATCCCGGTTGTAGTTGCATCAACTCCTTAAGGGTAAGCTCTACCCTTAATTTCCAACCTGAAAATTTAAAAGCACTCTCTTGCAAAAGTACTCCCTCTCACCCCTATAAAAAAAATACATCAATCAAATACGGAATTGAAGCGCCTTCCATTGAGTGAGGTACCAAGTTCATTATCAAGTACTAGTCAGTACTTAATAACTGTATCTCAAAAACGGCAAAATCGATCGCAAAACCACGAATTCAACCTGAAGAGATTTTCATCACGAGCCAATACACCAAGTGGCTTTTCCTAAATTGGGCGCGTTTTCATGCAAATTAAGCAAACATTTTGCGCCCTAAAGTCCCGTTATAACGGTCTGGTTCTCTGTTGCATTTTTGGCCATGAACGCGTTAGGATTTCTCTAATGATGGAGTCCCNNAACCCAGTAGTATCGTTACGAACAAACTTCGTAATATCAAAGGAACAACCTGACCACGGCTATGAAAAACAAAAAAAAAAAAAAAAATAATAATAATAATAATAAATAAATAAATAAAAATAAAAATAAAAATATTCCCCAGCATAGAGTGATCTCACTTACTTACTAAATAAATTAGGGAACAGGAGCCCGCATCACCATGCTCAAGGAACGCAAATGTCGAGGAAAGATGGGGAAAAGATAATTTTAGGATTTTAGGCTATTAGGAAATGAAGACGATGTTTATGACCATTGCGGGCCTGTCACTCTCCATGACAGGTCTGTCATGCGGAGAAAAGCCTGCTACTACGATCTCACAGTATGTTATCTGCACTGTAATGCAGCTTTTTTCATGTTATTTTAAGTCATCTTTTAATCTCATTTGTGTGCATCGAGAACCATGTCTCAAGTAGGAGAACGATGCAAGAGAATTAGAGTGATGTGCACCAAATTAGTTAAATATATATATATTTTTTTAATTCGGACGACATGTTTCGAAATGGTATGAGGTATGACCCGATGTCTCGAGGCGATGAATGCAGAACGCGGAAAGTGAAGGGAGGTGGAAAAAAAAGGAAGGGGAATTCGTTCCCCTCGATCAGATAAGAGACCCGATGGAGGTAGATAGATTAATAATTAAAAATGTTTCTAGTCGGGGTGAGCCCTGAGGGGAAAGAGGGGCGGAGAGACGCTATGCGACATCTATGCAGCACCTTCGCCCTAACTCAATTTTCGGGAAGGGTAGGTCCCCCCCCCCCTTAATCCCTTAAGGCAGGGCCGGATAAGGGGGGGCGGGGGGCAAAGGGGGCAGTTGCCCCGGGCCCCACTCTCCCAGGGGGGCCTCGAAGGAAATTAAGAACGTTAGGTATTTGCGTTAAGTAGCGAGGAGGGTAGGGGGTATTCCACTTGTCCCGGGCCTCGCAACTTCTTAATACGGCCCTGCCTTAAGGACACGGGACGTAGTTCCTACTTCTACTCCTCTTCGCACTGATCGTCCTTTGTTCGTAGTACCTACGTCCGACGTATTCTCGGCTGGCCCAGTGAATGGCGGGGGAAGTTTTGGCCTATAATGAAGAAGTTAGTTTATTGGCCGACGTAAATGTCTCCAGAGCTAAATAAATGACTGGAATTTTGAATGTTGGATCATCAGTGTCCGAGGATTTTTTATTTCTTCCCTTCCATGCCAAAGGTAGCATAAGGCCTACAAAGGTCTGGTTCTGTTTTGTGGTTTAACTTCTGACAGCCACTGGGAGCTGTCTGTATCGGTATCGGTATCGGATCGGCCGATACCAAGACACCGAGATCGGTATCGGTATCGGCTAATCCTGGATCGGTGCATCCCTAGCTTTAACAAAGTTTTGTATAAAAAAAAAATAGAAGCCATTTTTATGATTATATTATTTATAGCATAGTTCATGAGCTTAAATTTTGTCCAGTCCTATTTTAGTATGGAAAGGTTTTTCTTATTCATCAAGTTTATGTTTTTGTCGTCTGCAAAAATGTAAAATATGTAGTGTGATAATAAAACCACTTGATGTGTGTATGGTATTTTAACAGAAAAAGCTATTTACATCTGCTCAGTAAAACTTGAGAAATAGTATCACATTGAGGGAAATATTACAGGAGAAAAACATGCCTAATGGGAGGGTGCTATTGATGTGGCATTTGTGTATGGAGCATGTGCAGTTATGGATAGGTTTATGAATGCTATCAAAGATCATTCCTTGGGTGGTCTCTGAAGATTCTGACTTGCAGCAAATGTCATTTGTGCAGTCAGTACTAATATGGATTCAATATAGAAGCAACACAAAAAGCTTAGTACTTAACAGCTGCCTTTTACATGTCCATTCATGGTTACACCTGCTGTGTATACAAGTGCATCTCAGAATCTATGGCCAAACAAATGGAATCTTTGACCTGAACCTATGACCCTGAATCGTGGTTGAGCAGGGTCATGTGTGGATTTCATTCTTGAAGGAAAATGGTGGACACTTTGAATGTTAATTACTCTAATGCATTTACCAACTGATGTGTGGCACCCATAATAGTAATGATGTAGGACAGATAATATTTCTCTCTATGGTGTAGTGAATTATTGTACAAAGTTTTCAGGTCATACTACTGATCAGTTTTGAGATACATGTTTTTGAGTAGCTTAAGCCAATTCACCCTGTATTTCATTACCCAAACATGCCCTGCAATGAAAGTCTTATAGACTGAAACTTGCAAGAAATATGTTAAAAACCAGTTTTAGTGTTCTTTAACCCTTTCACTTCTGAGTTTTTGTAGCTGTGCTGGGTAACGTGACAAGTATACTCACTAGCCTTAGCTAAAGGGTTAAGACCACATAGAGTATCCAAAATCTGATTCCATAGAGGTGTAGACCTTTGAATGCTTGCAACTTTATAAAAAAAAGGCAAGCCTTTATGGGATATCAGTATACATGGAGAGGAATCTCTTATCATGATGTGGAATGAAAAGTCCTTGATGGGACACAAGGGTGTGAAGGCATTTCAGAAGTGGTAACTTGAGGCAGTTGTGGGATAACCTGTTGGAGTCACCATCTACCAGTTAAGGTCTCATCTGTCATGTTGAGGTGGGTGATGTATTCTTGCATTGCATAATCTACTCCCATGTTCTTTGTTCCCCCTCACCTCCTTCTGTGTTGACTCACATGAAAAGGGGATTCTTCGCAGCACAAATGACTCAATGGGATCCATGGGATTCAATGATGAAGCAATCCATTCATAGGTACACGTTTTTTTCTTCCCCCAGCAGCACAGTGTTGGCCAGATTTCATTTAATTGAGACCTGCTTCACACCCATGGCTTGTTTGTTTTGTTCTCAGCCTTGTTTAATTCAAGTGGGACAAAATGCTGGCTCCACAAAAGATGTCCACCTTTTTACATGATTGTCACAAATGCAATTGTAAATTTTTCTCAGGATGGTGTTTGACTTTTTTTATGACCTCCAGAAATACCTATACCTCGTCATTTTTGCAAGATGAGGGAGGGAGTATGAAAACAATGTACATGTAGGAGCCCTGACAAATTAATTGATGTGATGTGCTTTCAATGATTTCTTGGTCCATGTGTAAAGAAAAATCCTGATGTTTCAGTGATACTGGATGGAAGCTGCAAATTGGACACCATGCCCCATTCTCCCAGGTGACCCATCAATAGACTGTATCCTCATTGCCAGTTCCATCTTGTGGCAACAAGGACAATAGATGAATGGAGTGAATTATTGCATTAATTTTTCTTTGCCAACCTTGTTATCAAGAAGCACTGGAGTGCTTATAAAAAAAAAAAAAATTGGAAGTGAGGTAAGTGAAATATTGTTTGAACTGACTGGTCTGAAATGAAAGCATCCACCTCCATCCCCATCACTAATGAAGGTTAGTGGTTTGATGGTGAATTGTGTCTCAACTTTTTCATCTTCATCATTCTTTGTATTTGTGAGCTTCAGTTGGTCAATGAAGTCATTCATATCACATGAAGTGTGACATTTCTCTATCATCACAATACTTGTGACCTGACAGAAAGATCCATGGACTGTAATGTAATATGTTACTGTGCAACAAAACATATTCAGAATGAGAAAATTTTGATACCTCAGACCCTCTAATATTGTCAGAATAAAAACAGATGAAATTTAACTTGCTGCATTTGAAGAAGTCAAGCTAATAGTATCTTCTTTCTGGAGGCAAGCTGCTGCACACATCGAGAGAGTGCAAATATAGGATACTAAATAGTCCAAGTGCGGACATATTTGACTTCAACATTTTCTAGAATGCAATTGCTCTGCCATGAGCACCATGAAAGTAATGGTTATTCTATACCACATATACAGGGTGCTTGTATTTTAACACAACATAGGGAATATTTTTCCACCTGTAAGTGGAGTTTGGGAAGTGCTACAAGGCCCACTGGGTTGCATATCTGCAAGGAAACACACCAAGAATAGGTTTTATCCTACCAAATATGCAACCCGGTGAGCTATAAGGCACGCCCTGAACTCCACAAACAGGTGGGAAAATTTTTCCTATGTTGCATTTAAATATGAACACCCTGTATTTATTTGACTAACTTGTGCCTCCTATCTCTTAACCTTGGGATAGAATATAACTAGAGAAGGGTTTGGCTTATGTATCTCAATTCACCAATGTATTTCAATCTGGTTGGAAACTGGTTATTTTCTATTCACACTCTCAATTATCAGCATAAGCAAAGTGAAATGAAAATTGCCAATCAGGTCACTGAGACCCAATTGCTGTAGCTCTCTATTCCATTCTTCTTTGTGGCTTCTAAAAGCCAGCAATTCCAAGACTACTGGAGAAGGATACCTCTTGGAAAGAAGGGATTCCTAAAACTGATGCTGTAAAGTGACAAGTTAGAGCGTCATCAAGGATGTCATTTTGTAAAACTGCAAGGGGGGGGGAAAGAAGCATTTCAGTGAGTAATTTTAGCACCTGTTGAAATTTTGCAAATTTTATTAACCCTTTATTGCATGATATAGCAGATGTGCTACATACCAAATAAACATTTTTAGAATGCGTAGGTATCGAACTCCTAAGGTAAATTTGTTCATAGCAGATGTGTGACAGTCCGGTCCTTGTACCTAGCAACCATGCCATTGCTAGGTCCCATACACTCCTGGTGGCAAGCAAATTAAAAGCCCCTGACTTGGTTGTGTGACAGATTGACGTTTTTGGTGGAATTATCATTAACTTATGCTAATCTATTAATAGCATCCAGGCTCATCCATATTTTTGCATTTACTTTTGCAATGAGGCATATATAAATGTTGATGAACTGACTGAGCTCTCTAGTATCCATGCAGCATGGGTTAGAAAGCTGAAAATGCTGTTTTTAGCAAATGAGCAACAAAAACATTTTCAGGCCTACTGCTTACAAATTTGATATAAAAAAAAAATTTTTCCACTTGACCCATGTTCTAGGACATAAATGAAACCTACAAGATTTTTTATGCCAAAAAATAAAAAACCATGCATTAAAGGGTTAAGCATGATGAATTGTAAAATTAAATCACTCTTGTTTTTTTTTTCCCAAACAGGCAAATGGTGAAAACTGGGGTGAAATTCATGAACTGCGGTTCATGAAATCTAAAATTCACAAAATATAAAAAGCCAATTTTTCGGATTCACAAAATTAAATTGACTCCAGAAATCCTCACTGCTCTATAATATAAAGTTTGCATTTAGAAGAATAGTATTTAATTTAATGAAACTACACCTGTGGTTACATGCAACCATAGGAAATCTCCCAAATGAAAGTTCAAGAGGCATAAAACAGAATAGAAGTTCTCTTATTTAGGCAAACTGTTTTAATACCCATAGGATTTACTGCAACAGTGGGTAGCAATGAATGCTAATTTTTGTGAATTCATCAATCACATTCTCCATGTTCACTTCCTTCATGTCCTCTTTTAGTGCTGCCAATAACAGCAGATCTCTCAGTCTTTCATTCCAACAGTGCGACTGTAATTATCTTTTTACTCTTAATGGTGGAAATGAGTCTCTCAGTTTGAGCAATTGTCACAGGCTGAATCAAAACAAGGTCAATTAGCTCCAAGACCTCAGCATACACAGCTGGAAGTTTTGAGTGTGCATTTCTGAGCTCAGGAATGCTTGCTGGCTTTGAGCTTTTCAGATACATTTTCACAGTTGCAAGCTGCACACCTGCCTCGTAAGATGACAGAATCGATTTTGCACTTAGGGTAGTGATGGAGCATGATACAAGCATTTTCTTCATTGAGAAGTTTGGCAATTGTGGATCAAAGACAGAAAGGGCTCCTAAAATGTCGCTCTTTCACTCAAATCATCTATCTATTTCCATTACAAATGAATCTAATACAAGAAAGTGCACCTTTGACTTCAGGGGTATTTGATCCCCACCCTCATCAACATTCTGTTTTCCTATAGCAATGGAAGCAAAGGAGTCTGAAACTTTCCATTTGCTGCTTCTTGGATTTAAAAACTCTTCTGAGCATTCCTGAATGCTGATCTTAGCTGCAGGAATGGATGTTTCCTTGCTGATCTGACTCCAGCACTGGTTAGTTCTGAGTGACAATAGCCATTTCTTCACTGACTTAGATGAGTTGCATGGCACTGACAATGTCTATCTGTTGTCACTGTAACTCTTCAGAAAGAGAATTTATGGCACCAAGCAGCTCTTTAATTGCCAACAGAGCCAGAAGAAACAAGGCAACTGTCCCCTCCCCAATGATGTCCCTGAGCCTAATTCATTGCAAAATTAGGTTCATATAAATATTAATAAGTAATATATTCAATAAATTAGGTTCATATAATAAAAACAGCAAACAGCTGGTGCATCTTGATCCTTGATGGAAAAATATGCATATCTGTCATGGTGGATAACTCTTATATAGGGAGAAAGCTCAGGGCTAAGTGGAGAAACAGAAAAATGTGGGGGTATCAATTTTGCAAAGCTATGTTTGGCAATAACCACATTACCAAACTTTGAATATAAGTTCTTGTGGATCTGCTATTCTTAAAACCTCTCACATTTGGGGTTCTTTTACAGTTCATGCATTGTGGATGGGAGGCTGCGAACATCTTGAAAACTCTCAGGATATCTTGAGAGTGTCACATGATGACACTGGAACAAGATGTCCAATTTTGGATTTTTTTTCAATATTTCCTAGACATACTTGCATGACTTGGTATACAAGGTGGCTAAAAAAAAGAAGTTAGCATCTTTCCAAAGAAGTTCATTTGAGCTACACGTGTGTAATCCAGGTAATTTGACCTACACATTTGAAAAATGTACAAGACACTTTTCAAGTGCGATGGCATGTGGTTTGCAAAGATTACTTGAATTATACAAAGTTACATTCAAAGGCACATGGAATGTCACATCAGTCGGGGTGAACATGGCTGATTGCAACAAGGTGGCATGGGGTGTGAGGGGCCCACTGGAATGACATTTCTTTGAGACCAGCCAACATACTTTGGCCATCCAGAAAGTAATGAGAATCGTTTGTAAATCTATAAGCACTGAACTTCTCACTACTCTGGCATTTAGATCAACATTGCTGATTTTCAAGTCGATCCGTTGAGAGGTGCTTACAGAGCAGACCTCAAAAGACAGCTCTATACGCTCATTGCAATGAGGGCTGTTTTAAACAATTTGGATATGGCTACAAGCTCTGAGAACTTTAGCTTCTACATGTTCACATGGTTCAAACTAGGCATTGTGGCAGCCGCCAGTCACGCAAAACTGATCACTGCATGGCAATGACTGCTTCTGGCAAGTCTACTGTCTTCCTGAGAAGCCCTATTTATCTCTTCCATGAAACTGTGCAGCTTCTCATTTTGAAAAAGTTAAACCCCATGGAGATGTGTCTCTTATATTGGGGTCTTTTAAACAAAGAATTTCCCTCCTTTTTTTTTTACCATTGTTCTCCAATAAATTAAGACTTGGGAGTCCTAGATCAAGTAGAGACATCTTATTAAATAAAGGGTTGTCCTCTATAGCAGGAAGTGAGTGTTTCAGAAAGAAAGGTACCCAGATATTTTGATATTGAGAAGTCCATGCAAATAGTATCTGGGACATCTCAAGGATATACTTGGGAAGTCTTTGTGCCCAGACATGTTGATATCCCTATGATGTCCCAAGGGAATATCTTTGGATCTTGATTCAAATGTACCAACATCCTTCCAGAAGTAATCCCATCTCACTAATAACCTCCAGTCTGGTACATGATTGGTGTTCAGTATGAGAACAAACACCAAGTACAAGATTGCTTTTGTTGATTTGAACTTCTCTACCAACATTTTCCCAGGTTCTTTCTTATTCCAAATACTGAGAGTCAAATTTCATTACCATTATACTAGGGCTGTACCAATGTACCAGCCAACACCGTTATCGGCCACTGGTGTTGCTCTATCAGCCGTCGGCCTATGGCACCGGTGCCCTAAGGATGGACAAAGTGAAAAAAAATACATGAGGGTGTGAATGCCACTAGGCGCCAGCTCTCCTGTATCACTGAAAGCCACTCCTGCCAGCCTCTCCCAGTTGCAAATATCAATCGGATTATACAGGGTCTTCAGCTATTCTCACATTAATTTAATTATTGCTGTGTGATATGGTTTTTGTGATTGATTGTTATTGTTAAAAGTTTTTTTTTTCCATTGTAGGTGAAGGAAGATGCACGTTTAAAAATGTATTTCTGTCGTTTAAATTAATAAAGTTAATAAGAGTTTAGTATAGTTGAAAACCCCTTGGTAAACTGACTTATGGAACACCCTGTATTACAGCCGGATTTTAGAAACCGGAAGAGGAAAGGTGCGGTAAAGAAGGGAAGTCATTGCGTCTCCATTTATGTTCTGCTTTTGCAAAGGATGTGTCACTAAATGCTCTCAACAGCAGCAATGGATAACAAGCTAACCACTGACAGCCTCTTGGAGAGACAGAAAGGCTGGACAGGACCAAAAGCGGTCTCTATCGTTTTAAGGAGGCTTACTGATAGGCCTAATTGGAAGCCATGTGATACTTATTTGAATTTATAGACAATTTCTTCTACAGGCCACAATTGATACCGACACCGACTGATGGTTATGAGGAAAAAATTGGCCCACCAGCCAAATGTGGCCACCAGTGCAGCCCTGCATTAAACCCATGACAATGTTTAATATTCAGGCTAGTATTTGCACTAAATTGATGGAAATACTGTGTTCTATTGAAAGACTTTAACCAGTGACACATTTTGTAGATTTTTATTTTTCAATGTTTTCCAATTGTATTTTGAAATAGACAAGAAATAGACAGTATTCTGGATATGTTTTAAGGCATCACCCACGAACACATGAAGGTTGAACCACATAAAGCCAACTCTTGAAATAAAAATTCTGTTCAGCAATTTATGTCTTCTGGTTCTCAACCTTTCATATGAAATGGTAGTGCTTAAAAAACTGCTGATGGACTTTGAGAATTTTACTTGACTGACACTGCTTCCGAAGAAAGCCCTTCTTCCTGAGTGCCCATTTCTCCACAAAGTGTCTCCTGCCCTTAAAGTTGATGTACAGATACCAGTAACAGAGGGGGGTGGGGGAAGAATAAAAAATGATAATGAGGGATCTCTGATAATCTTTTTTTTCACTAGATGCTTGGTTTCTTGCTATAAGGAATTGCATGCAAATATTCTCCAGCCTTGAATGCACTCTTCTGTCTGAAAACACCATGCTACAATATCAACTCAATGACACTAGCATTTGATACTACGAATTCCTCATGCTTCTGTAAAGATTTCAGCAATGTAGTAGGAAAACTAGTGGTCTATCACAATTTGCTTCTTGGGGAGAGGGCTTCATATTCTCCAAGCCCCCAGACTTCCTTGGCCCTTGTGTCATTCAATGTCAAATATTCCAGGTCCTTCACATCTGCAAAGCATCAATAATGCCTATAAATGTACTATTTTTAAATACCAATTTGCACCTATCTATATAAGTGCAGACATGTGGGCTATGTGATAGAGTGAGAGTGACCAACATGATGAAAGAGGAATGGAATTTAAACCTTGGGACTGGTTGAATCGGCGAATGACAGGCGCAATGGCGATGACAGGGATAGCAAGAGAAGCATTAGGATAGTAGATGGGATTCATATGGCGTGCCTGCATGCTTGTATTGCACACGATGATCCCAACCAGTTCTCGCTTCTCCATCGAGAACACCCCACCCCCACTGCATCCAGGATATACAGCACATGAACACTGGAGAAGCACCGGATTCAGGGACGATCTAGATGACACTACTTTGGACACGATCCCTCGAGTCACCATGGGACCCGACAATTCCATCCTGGGATTCCCCAGTATCCCATAACCCACACCCAGAACCTCCAGACCTATCAAGAAGGCATAAATCATTGGGGGGCTAAGGGTTAGAAGCATAATTTTTCAGATTTAAAAGTTACAGTCAACCCTTGATATACTGCCAACTCTCTCCTGAGAACAAATCTTCCCCATAGGCACTCTCCCATTATAGCGCCACCCTCACTAGCCGCCATCCGCCAACACCTTTACTTGCACAAACGTCTTATTCTATGTAAGTCTTACTCGATATTACGCCAAGTAGCATACTTCACTAGCCACAATTATTATACCATGTACGAAATGTAATGTTGCCAGTTGCTTCTTTCAGCTGCATGATAGATATCAAGATTGTAAGGGATGATGCAGCGCTAAAATTGACCTCCAGAGGTTAGAGAGGGGCATATAAGGTCGCCTAATCCTGTCTCTTCTTTTGGAGAATGGAAATGTCTCATTAAGATTATATGCAGCTTCTCCAGGCGACAGTTCAAGTTTGTTCACTACCTAGTGATGGGGAAAAGGACGAGTTTTAAGTTTGAAGGAAAAATTGGAAGTGTGCCATAAGAAGGAACCGAATGTGGTCAAAAGTCAGCAAAACTTTGCAAACAATTTTTCAATGTTTTAGCACAATAATGTGAACAGACGGTGCATAGGAGTTATACTACTATAATTAAAAACATGAAGTAATTGGATTTAATAATGGATGGAACAGATGGAGTCATTTTTCAAAGCTGTGTAGTTGGTGTATTCTGAGGCACGAAACATTGGCAACGTGGATTAATTATAGTGAAAATTTGGTGCATATTTTATATGAATTAGGAAAAATCTCTCAATGTTAAAGCCATGCGTTTCAATATAGCGCCAAAATCGGCCGAGACCAACAGTGGCGGTATATCAAGAGTTTACTGTACTTAATTTTTTATGATTAATTCGATTATTACGAAACCAAAGTGTGCCAAGATATCAAGCGCTCGTCGTTAGCGCTGCAAACTACGTTGTCGGGATACCGTTAAAATCACATTCCTTTCGGTTTGGAGTACTTAGGGTAAGGTGTTGCTACGTTGTACGTAGGCGCACCTCGGTGAGGTGGGTCCTGCATAATTGTGGCAGGGATAGCGCGGCTCCGGAAGGAGTCGTCCTCGTCGTCCCTGAGGGCCAGAAGAGCGATGTCGAAGGGGATCCCCGCTGGGGACCGGTAGAGGACTTCGCCTAAAGACACCTCCTCCTTCCCGTTCTTCCCCATCCACCTCACAGCCGCCATCTATCAGGAGAGGGGAGATGGACAGATGAAGGGTATCCAAGTATTCAACTCAGGGCTGAGGCGGCCTACTTCGTGATTGCGGACGACGTGAGCACAGGTGAGAACGAAGCCAGGGGTCGCTGTCCCTGGAGACTCTTCTATAATCACACCCGATCCCCGACTGCCTCCTGCACTCACCATCACCGTACTCCCTTCCACATCCCATATCACTTCTCCTATGCAAACAATTACCACCCAAATAAACTTTGGGGTACAGTCGGGTAATCGACTTTATAGAATTCAATACACTGCATTTCACACTGAAAATAAACAATTTCGAACGTCCACTATTTTTTTGAGCTCATAGTTCCGAGGCGTTTGAGCGCGAAACATTTCCTATTGGGTCATTCCACGCTAAATCGACCAACGAGTAAGCTCGACCATCTCGGATTTTGACAAAATCGGCATACTCGAAGAGGAATTGATTTAAAGAGACCAATTTCGACCTTTTTTTATCTCTCCCACAAATCTTCAGATACATGCATTTTAATGAGACATAATTTTCGCTCCCAGCGCCCATACGGACTGGAATTATGAAATTGTTTCTGCAATAACTTCCCCTCTAGTTAAGATAAAAGCTTCATTCTGGTATCATTTTAATTGTGAGATTGCCATCCTTAAAACGACTCCAGACATTATTCTCCTAAGCTGAAACAATAAGCTTCACTTGATCAAACAGTTTGAACAAGTTCAGTGGCCAATATCGACACTTGCCACCTAGTGAATTCGTTGTTTCAATATTGCATTAAAAAGGGCATGGTGTGCCATTTCTGACGATATAAAATTCGAGATTGGCACTCAATGGCTTGACGAGATATGAATAATTTTTGCGCCCCAGTAGGGCCAAATTTCCACTTGATCGAGCAATCAGAACGACTTCGGCGACCGACATTTGCATCATGTCTCCATTACTTCAAAGCTGTAGTATTAATTAAAAAGTGCAATTAATGCCGGTAATAACGCTAGAAAGTTCAAGATTGGTATTTAATGACTTAATTTGATTATTTCTCGCGGCAGAGCCAAATCTAATTGATCGAACAGCTGGACCGATTTCAGAGACTAAAATCCATCATCCATGAATCCGAAGTTATAATATTTCTTTAAAAAGTGTCCTTTATGTCCTTTCAAATGACACCAAACTCAATATTGGCGCTCAATCACTTCATGAGATATGACCATTTAACGAGAACAGGAGTTCCCGAGCACTCCCCGAGGGAATCATGGGAATGTAGCTTTGTGGTAAGCCATCCAAAAGGTAAAATTATTGCCGATTTTTATTTATTTTATGCTTTTTTTTTATTGCGTTCCTATACTGCAAAATCGTAAAATATTGCAAAGATTTTCAATAAAGTATTTCCATTTCATTATTATTATGTAAATAACTAAAGCCAATTAAGTGAGTTAATTGATTTGTAACTGTTCAAAAAAATAATATTTAGTAATTCTGTATGCTGGGAAAATAATAAAATGCTCAAAATTAAAAGCCAGCAAAAATTTAACGCATAGAGCTACATAACATTGGACTACGTTCTCATGATTCCTAGGTGCAACTATAAATGCACTGTCGATGCCGTCCAACGGTGATATCTCATGAACCCATTGAGTGCCAACCTTGAATTTTGTATCGTTAGAAAGGGCGTAGCAGGCACTTTTTAATGATACATTAGAAGTTCGGATTCATGGAGTGGAAAGTGCAGGTGTTGGTCACTGAAGTCGGTCAAAGTGTTCGAACAAGTGGAAATTTAGCCCTACTGGCGCGCAAAAAATATTCATATCTCGTCAAGCCATTGAGTGCCAATCTCGAATTTTATATCGTCAGAAATGGCATACCATGCCCTTTTTAATGCAATATTGAAACAACGAATTCACTAGGTGGCAAGTGTCGATATTGGCCACTGAACTTGTTCAAACTGTTTGATCAAGTGAAGCTTATTGTTTCAGCTTAGGAGAATAATGTCTGGAGTCGTTTTAAAGATGGCAATCTCACAATTAAAATGATACCAGAATGAAGCTTTTATCTTAACTAGAGGGGAAATTATTGCAGAAACAGTTTCACAATTCCAGTCCATATGGGCGCTGGGAGCGAAAATTATATCTCATTAAAATGCATGTATCTGAAGATCTGTGGGAGAGATAAAAAAGGTCGAAATTGGTCTCTTTAAAGCAATACCTCTATGTGTATGCCGATTTTCGTCAAAATCTGAGATGGTCGACTTGGTGAAATGACCCTATTCCATTTTCCTTGCAATAATGCTGTCATTTATGGTCAAAGATACGCGGGCAAAAGAATTGGGATAAACAGACTCTTCTCATGATCCAAGCCCTGGAATTTCTCGAGAGGGAGCAGTTTGGATTCTTCTCTAGATTGGTGAGACTGGCAACGGAGGAGACTTCGTAGGAGATGAGGCCAGAGCACGGCAAGGCCGAAATGAGCTCCCTCCACATCGCTCTGATTCACCCGAGCCAAAAGCATCCCTGCCAGCCTGTTAGCACTTCAGCATTAACACAACTCCACGAGGTATTCTCAAAAGTAAAGGATATATTCCTTCCCCTGTTTTGAGGATGGAGATGGAAAGCGGGAGACGACGACTTACTTTCCGCTGGAGTCGTAGACGGCAGATCCCTCTTGTCCAGGGAGAATTCGAGCGTCGAGCAAGACGAGGCCGCGATCCCAGTTTTTGGTCTTGTTATTTTTCGTTGAAAACACATTGCTGACAATCCCCTGGCTCAATGAATTGAGGAAGACCGTTGAGGGGGAATTAGAGGGGAATGGAGTCCCTTCAATGTACACCTCGGATCCTTTATGCAAATCCCGGCCATTATCACTCAAAGCCACCTCCAAGATCTCTTCCACAGTCTTCTCATTCTTCACCACCATTCGTTCCAATATCAAGAAGGATGAAAACGAGTTTAAGACCTGTTCGTCTGCTGGTTCTCCTACGTAGCGTGGTTCTGGGTTCCGTGGAGGCAACACGTGAGAGAGGGCGTCCTTCAAAGTCTGGGACTCTAAAATGCTCTTCAACCTAAAATTCTCACGTACGGGCTCATGATCGTCTTCGCATTCGAGAAGAACCCGAAACCGGCACCTGGCATTCACGGCCACGGCCTCAAACTCTTCTACAGGATACTTCAAAAATATGGCACTAGCTAATACGTACGAGGAATCCTTCGGGTCCAAGGTTATCCCAGAACCAATACTAGCATTAACCCGGTTCCCGACAGGAGACAACCGGTAACACGTCACTACCACACTACGACGAAATTTCATCATCGAAATCTTCTTATATTATTTATTGGACTCCAATTGACGAAGAATGTCCTCTTCCTTCTGGATTCTAATTTCCTTGATAGCCCTCTGGAGCTCGTCGTGATGATCCTTGTTCTCAGGTGGATACAGTTTCCTCTTAGTCTCTACGACCCACTTCTCGAACATCGCCGGCTGGTTGAAATAGTAAAAGAGGCCGACTGGGAATGCCATGTAGATGGTCATCTTGAACACCTCCAGCTTCCATCCTCCCATAGCGAATCGAGGATGTCCTAGGAGTGGGAGACGAGGATATTACCACGATGAGATTAAGATGAGGTGGGCAAAGAGAGAAAGAGAGCGAAGGGACGCCGCGGGATGTCGCAGCGGGTGCTCGCGCCGTCCCCATCAACACTTTCCCTCGACACGGAATAGGGGAAATGGGATACGAAGAACAGGACGAAATATAAAGCTCGTCAACGGGACGTTTCCCCCGCAGTTCTCCATCAACCCACTATCATTCGTTCAGACTACCCGGTCCTATTTCCTCTTCTCAGACAGCACCAGTATCTCCTCCCAATAACATGCACTGCTCTGTAAGTGATTTCTCTTTGTTTCCAATTATATGATACCTTCTGTTTCTTATGAAAATTTTGTAATCGAAGCTTTTCAACAGCCTCTCCGATTCTCGTTGCAAACCAGTATAAAGCTCTATCATATATAAGTGTCAAACCTACAAAACCTACTCGCTTTATGCGAATGTGTAAATATTCAATATTCTTTGCATTGGATCTCGACTAATACGAAGCTGAAAATGCTTCTGTTCACTCTAGACCCCAAATATGAATGAAAAAAAAGTATCGTGCAAATGCTGAACTTGCTCAAGCCTACATCTTAGTTGCCTTTTCACCGATTCTAGGTAGTACCTAGAATCTAGTACAGTAAAACGTAAAAATTCGTCAACTCGAATTCTGATAGGTCGAAATTCCTCTCATATAGAAGTTCAATGCTTGGGCCAGACCGAATCCCGTAAGATACCATGTTAAATATTCCGTTTAACTCGAATTTTCACGATTTCCTCGTGGTTAACTCGAAAGGTGCGAAGGGGGAAAAATTATTGTAGGACCTATCGATTGGTTGAATAGGTGAAAGGCAAGAAACCTGTTCAGGAGAAAATCTTTTTGTTAATTAATTTATTTTAGCTTCTCCCTCTTCACTTACAGTCGCCTGTGGAGAGGATCAAACCTAAGGATTAAAACCGGAAAGCTTCTGCTATAAAAGAAGCAACCTACCTCTAGCACTTTTCCTCTCTATCGCTCTCACTTCCGGCTATTCCAGTCATATTTGATTTTCGGAGTACTGGATGAAGGGTGTTGTGATGAATGAATTTTGCACATGGAATATCAACCCAAGACATGAATAAAAGCCAATTATAATGAGAAGGTCGTTGCTCCTTGAAATCGGATTCTCGAGGACGGAAAAATCGATTATTATATCCCTTAATATGATTGCTTTTTTACGGGAAGATTCAAATTCCTTATAAGTCGAACTTCGGATAACTCGAAACGATTTGCTCGGTCCCAAAAAGTTTGAGTACACGAGTTTTTGCTGTACTTGTACTAATATTACAAGATATACTCATGATACCATATGATTGATTCCTTTAGGAGAGGTCCATTCCATGGAGAACCCCTTTGATTGCCATGAGCCTCTTCATGGTTGTTACGTCGGCATACCCTTCGAAGGATCCTGAAGGAATCATCACTGACTTGTCGAAGAAGTCATTTCAGGTTAACAAAGAAACTTCTCCCAATTGAAAAATCCTGCAAGAATGCTTGCTTGGGAAGACATAGGGTGACATGCACCAGATTCGTTTAACTTTAAAATGATTCGTTTTCATAATGGGCCTCTATGGGAATAAGTTTATCTCTTGTTAAACTGATTCCCATAGACCATTGAGATCAGATTAGTTTAGCTTAAACGGATTCGGTGCATTTCATCCATACACCAGATCATGGGATTAAGTTCGTAATTAATTTTTCCTTCATGCTAACCAATAAAACAATAACTAGGCCTCGTGCTGTACTTGAACACCAATAAAAATTCCTGGGGTAACTTTCCTGTGCAGGCATGCCAGACACTTTACTGTAGTAAATACACAGGTTATTCCCGCAGTTCCACATAAAGGAATGAACTGAATTCCATAAGTCTATCTGTCTGCAGAGGTGAAGGAAAATTTCCTTCTCGCCTAGATAATTCTGATTATCGAACGGTATGATGTAAAAATGTCTGATGATGTGCGTGTGAGATAAGGAGCTGGATGTATTATGCATCCTCGGGTGGGGGGAAATAAATCTAAAATTTCCTCAAAAAGTGATCAATGTTGAACAGACTACTTTCAATTTTGAACAATGATGGCATAATGAAGCATTGAATGAAAAGCAGAACCTCCATAGTGCAAGCAAACAATTAGACTTCAGATTCCTTTCCTTAAAAGTACCATACAACAGATAACAATAGATAATCATATGATCAAGCAGAGCAAGTGACAGTTTCATTCAGAATAAAACTCCAAATTCAAAACGGCACCCCATTTTCCAAGCCTACATTTAACAAATACATGTATAATTCTGCAATGTCATTCTCATAAAGTCAAAAATTAAAAATAGGCCATGAACTTATGAAATGAAAAACTCATGAAAATATGAAATACCTGAGATGTATTTAAATATTATTTTTAATACAACTATTTTAAATACTACCCACCTCTATCAATACCAACCATATAGGGAAAGTATACTTAGATGTTTTTCTTTAATTTTAATTGTATATTTCAGATCCACAAAATACTCCTACCCTGAATTTTACACAGGTGAAATTCAAGCTTATTATTAATTTCCATGTAGGATTTGCAGTGCAAGGGAATGTTCCACAAAGCCACATTTGCCCGACTTGATCAAGTCTGTGAAGACTGCTTCACCGTTTACATGAATCCTGACATTCACTCGAAATGCAGGTAAGTATACCTCATCATCTAATAGTCCCTTTCACATACAGAAATAAATTCTGATGAGGACCCTTCAAATTTTTTAACATTGCAGGGAGAGATGTTTCAACAACAAGATATTCCGTGGTTGCCTTGATGCTTTACTTTTGAGCCATGAGAAGGAGGTGTATGACAACATGGTTGATTATGTTGGTGGATGGTGAATCTGCACTTGGCCACATGATCCTCTAGGCCAATCATCGAATCTCTATCCATGACATGCATGATGCCAGTAATGATCAATGTGATGCTACTGCATTGCCTCAGTTTTTGTGTAATGGCTGTACTCCTCAGATTCATCTGAATAAAGCCAAAATGATGTCAAAATCAATGTAGAGAGGTCTAAAAATGATCACCTATTTTTAAGATTAGATAACTTCATTAATGTTTCTTCCATCTACATAATATATACAACACACAAGGTCAAAGGATAGGGAATTTCTTGCAAAACAACAACCTCTGTCACAGATTCAGTATCTTGAAAATGATAGTAAGAATAGTATGTATAGTGAAATCCCTCTAAATGACTGTTCTTTTTTTAGAATGGCATTCTCTTCCCAAAAGGCTAATGCATTTTGAACCCCTGAGTCAACCACCCCTCACTCTGACCAATGACCAGCATTTTTATGGCAAATGGAGTAGAAAACCTCTCATGACCAATAATATTCAAGTTAGAGCATTTAAGGAATATTGTATATACTGGGCAGATCCAGTCTCTGACTCATTGGGAATGATCTGTGCCACACAATTTGACAAAACTAAGAGATGACCACCTCTAAGAAAGACCATATTCAACTATGAGTAGCCAGCTCAAAGGGGTTTCAATGTCTACACATACATAAAGGAAACTTCAGGAGTTATCAAAAAAATAATTTAGGTGGTTACTACGATACTCCCTTTAAACTTTCATTAACTTTTACTTGAGTAAAAAAAAATTATTTTCTCAGTATTTAAAATGCAGTATGCATTTTCCAGAATGCAGTTTAGCTTTCCCACAGAGAATAGTTTAACACGTTGGCGACAATGCGTCCTGATGCCAGGATGCAGATTTTTTTTTAATGATAAATTTTTTTTCAATGAATACCCTCTGGAACTGTTGAGAACGTTCCAGAAGATTATAATTTCGTAATTACTGATAAAAGTTCCAAAAAATTCAACATTTTAAAAAAACTCGGCAAAAAAAATGTTTTCTGGGACCATGCGTCCTGATGGCAGGATGCATTTTTTTACAAAAAAAATGCGCGTGGTCCCACACGGCGGACAAGCAAAATAGGCTGGTCGTCAACGTGTTAATACTCCCAGTTGGGAAGCTAAGCTATATACGATATTGCCAATTCCCAAGGGGTGCATTGGCTTCACACTTCTTTGACAAGTATGTGACTGAGGATGGATATCATGGGGCCATCATTTATACATCTACCCCATTGCCTTGTGAGTGACTTTAGTAACAGAAGCTGCTTGATTTCCCAGCCAGGAAATTAGTAAAAATTTCCCAGTCCTCACTGACTGACCCCATTTTCATTTCCCTCTTACTCGGGTTTTCTAAAACTCTACATACCCATGCATCATGAGCATGAGAAAAGGTTTCCACTATTCAAGCAAGCTGGTTTTTGCAATTACCCCATTACCTATTCCAGTAACTTTCCTTATTCCAATTCTTAGTCTTATATGGCATTCCTTTATCTTGTGCACACATAGGATACCCAGACTTATACCATCTCTGTTCTCTCACACTATCAATTACACAAACACAACTCAGCTGACATACAGTAGAGATGAGTTACATCCTTGGATTTCTTTTGGAATGACCTGATTTTGTGAAAATACACCAGTGGAAACTCAAAGTTAACAATGCACAATACGTAGGAAAGGCTTAATATAATTTATTATTCAGCATAGAGGATGCTAGGTTTACCTAACAGTTGCTCAACTTGAATGATATAGGCTAAAGCCTATGGGGGGGGGGGGGATTCATTGGTCTTGGTTGGAGTTTGAAAAGCTATTCCTTTCCCATTTGTATCAAGTTTAAAACTATGAGTTGGTAAATGTTGCATCCTCCTTAAATGTATCTCTGCTGGCAATTTCTTCTTAGATTCAAATTCACTGAGGACCTCTTTTTTTTGTAAGTATAGTTCTGCTCAGATGCCAACAATTCAGGTCATTCCACTATAAGCAGCCAGGAGGAGGCACTTGAACATCTCTTTTTTTTCATCAAAACAACTTTTGCCAATGATTACCCAGAGATATTATTAAATTTAAAGTTAAAGATGCTCACCTCAATGGTTTTCATTGCTCTGGGGATGAAAATACTCACTTGGAGCAAAGCTAAAGACTCTCTTAAATATGCTAACTTATCAACTATTGGTCAAGGTATCAGAGGCAAACCTATAATTTGAATAGAGATCACCTAGATTTTACTAATGAAAACTTAAGTTTCTTGCAGTTACACAGACTTGCAAGCAAATAAAAAAAAAAAGGTTCAGCCTTTTATCCCTAGATATGGATATTGGCAACAGCTCAAATTTGGGGAGAAGTTACACCTATGTTAGTTAAACAACCTTGCATAATATCACTGAGTTATTCCCATGGCCATATAATGAAACTGAGCAGTTACATCAACATTAGGTCACAATTACACCAACTCTGACCATACTTCATATAAGTCTTCTGGTTGCTGAACAAGAAAGTGGGGACCCTCCACAGGCATGCATGAAAGTCACATCTATGTGAATTCACATTCCTGTAAGAGTCTTGAAATGATCATCTTACACCAAGAACCAAAGGCCCAGCCCTACCTGTACCATCTCCTAGCTTCATAACAGACCCAACAACAAATAGTTTGGCTTTCATCTGTAAAGGTCCACCCTTGGGGATCTCCTAACCAATATAGGTTGACCCTGCATGTTTAAGCACTGCACAACACTTCCAAATCAGGCAATACCTCAATACACTTTAGTCTAACCCAAGGCCTAGGAATACCTGCAATTCACCAAAAGCTTTGGTCAACTTCTAATTCCAGGAAGCTAAGCTTCTACAATGTTTTGCAAATGAAGTACCACCTTTTACAATATTATTTATATGGAGTATCCAAGGAGGTGAGAGTGTATCCCCTACTACATAAATGACATAAGGCTTATGGAACCCATATTAAAAAGGAGATACAAATTCATTTGCAAAGCACTGTTGGGTCTCACTGTAAAATTTTCAATTCATTGACGATTTTTTTGCCCCATGCCTGCATGACATTCATTGTTAGCCAAGAGATGGGAAAGATTAATGATTCAAAATCTCCTCTCACACTGGCAAAAAGCTAGGGCTTCTTACTAGGGTCAGACATTCTTGCCTTGACTGAGGCGCTTGTACATGGCATGCTCCTCAAGCATGGGTGTAAAAAAAAAAAAACCGCCTGACTCAAGTGAAAAACACTTAAGACAATAAAGGCCTACTGCGCGGACACCCTGCTAACCAAAGCCTACAAAGGGATATAAGTCTGTATGAGTAGGAAGCACGGGGACACATTTATTAGTACAGTTAGACAATTGAGTGAGTAAGACAATTTTTCACTTGACACACGTGCATGGGACGTTCCTCATGCGTGGGTGTCGAAGTCAAGTGAAAACACTGTACAATGGGGCACGTGTTACATAGGCTACTAACGATGACGAGAGTCGCATCCACACCTGCAAAGATGAGTTCGCGCTGGACCGACTGGGGGTCCCTCCTCCTCCGCTTGGGCTCAAACCGCGGCCGCAAGAAGTTAACTCATGATGAAATGGGAAAGCTTGAAATTTCATCGTGATGGCATCGGCGCGTATAATCCCTAACCGACAATGAGGTACAAATATAATATGGAAAATGATTCCGAAAAACAGGAACTTTGGCTTAAAGATTTAGCACCCTTCCCAATTTCTCCATTCATCAATGTCAAGAGCGAAAAACTTCAGTTTCTTACCGAGAAGTCTGACATGGACACGCCATCCGCTGTATTACCTGGCCTCGTCCTACCTAGATATACAGGCAGTCCTGTAGGTCTGGAAACAGGAAAATTAATATAATTATTCAAAGAATATTCTCGATGTCCACCAAAGTTGCCAACGTACATTAGTTGTATCCACTCCTCCTGGACACGTCGGAGGATTGCTGGTGTAATGTTGCGACACCGTTCCGTGATGCACTGCCTCAAGTAATGGACGTTCCTTATCTTATCTGCATACACCATTACCTCAGATACGAGGGTCACTCAATAAGTTATCTACCTGAATAAGAAAGAAACATCCGAGGGATCTGGA